TCTCTGCGCCTGTTCCAGTTTGAATTAATCTTTCTTAAACACGGGAGACCAGAATTGCACACAGCATTCCAGATGAGATCTCACCAGTGCCTTGTATAATGATGCTAACACTTCCCTGTCTCTACTGGAAATACCTCACCTGATGCATCCTAGGACTGCATTAGCCTTTTTTACAGCCGTATCACATTGACAGTCCAATCACATTGGTCTTAAATAGGTCTTTAAGCCAGCCTCTTTGGAGCAGAGGCTGCAACAGAAGAAATTGCACAAACAAGCTTCCCAATCACATTAATTCTCAAGTGACAGTTAAACATTCAATAGTAGAGCTGTTGGAAAAAATGGAGAAAATCTAAACATTCAATAGTAGAGCTGATGGAAAAAATGGAGAAAATCTTTGTGACAATTTTTGTGACAATTTTTGTGACATGTTCACCCTTTTTTGTGTCACAATTTCAAACTTAGATGAACTCTTTCACCAGCACAAGGTGGGTTGGGCATATGCTGTCAAAATAGAGAATTAAGAGTTTGAGATTTTCTTCTTGGCTGACCCTACTTCCCAAGCTGCTTTTGAAAATAGAATTGTCAAAGGAAATTCTGTTTTTAAACTCAAAAACATAAACTATCCATTACCTTAAATAAATTAGGGAAATGGTGGGGCTCAAGAATTCGACAATCCGTTCTTTACAGCTGCATGGATGGGAACGGCCACTTTTCCTCCTCTATTGACAGAGGAAAAACCCAACAGCCATGGCAACTGTGGTCATGGTGCCATTGAATGTCTTGAGACCTTGTAGGCAATGCTAAGAGTTTAAGAAATGCCCGAAAAGCCTGGGCCAGGTATGGCTTAGCAGGGAAGTATTCTCTTTCAGTTCCTGAGTGACATGGTCTCATTGCCTCCTGAGAGGAATGGAGAAATTCAACTCGCCTATCTCTCCCAAAGAGCATACATTTCCTTACACTTGCTCACATGGAAAGTCAGTGCCTGATTTACTGAACTACTTAGGCCCATTCTTTGAGACACAGACTCACTGACAGGTTTGCAAACACAAAACAATACCCTAAGATAAATGACTAAGGCGAAGGACAAGAATAGAATAATAAAGGAATATTCACAGGAGCAGGAATTCTTAAAGGTGAAAGGTCCAGTTTGCAAGAGAGCTTTAAAATAGACTTACCACTTTTTCATGTACGCAATCCTGTGCCATTAAATAGCTTTTCTAGTAAAAGAGCCATGACATCTACATGCCTTTTGCTCCTGGAGAGGTAATTGCTTTTCAGCACAAGTCATTTCAAGCTCTGTTCCATAAACTGAGTGACACACTGGACAAGTAATATTGTGTTTCCACCACACAAATTAGGAAGGCAGCAGACCAAGAGAGTGACCACATGCCCACCATTTCCCCTGGATTTCAAATCACAGCATGTGAAGCACTAAAAAACCCTGTCCAGCAATTTGTTACAGAATGGACAGTATTCCAGGCCATATTCTTTTAGAATAATTCTGGTGTAAACTGGTTTTCAGATGTACTGTGAATACCTGGTACTTCAAACAGGAAAGGTTTTTATTGTTCATTTTAAAATGTCTTTAGATTGTTTTGCATTTGAAATTTGTTTCTTGGCTATGTCAGACATTGTGACTGTGTTTTATAGTGATTTCAGCTTCAAATTCCCAGTTCATAGCTGAGCTAAATGAATATGTAACCCCCTGCTTGCTCATAACAGTGCTCTGTCCTGCTCTAGTGGTGGCTAGGCCACCTAGGGAATGATGAGCCTGCAATAGCCTTGACGAAGAGAGCTGTGTCTTTTAGCTCATGCAGTAGAAGCTCATGCGTTTAGCTCCAGAGATTCCCCAGGTTTGATCCCTGCTACTGATGCCCATGTGTGGGCTGGTGTTACAAATATATAAAGTGTAGAATATAATATCAAAAAATTACTTTAAAAGAATGTTAAGGTTGCAGAATCAAGCACTCAAAAATTAGGAAATTATGCAATCTTGAATTACATGACCACATACTATCTCTTCCACAGAACCCCTGCTTCATTCAGTGTACAGAATGGACAGTACTCACTTAATGAGCTGCTATTCAACGTTTCATTTTATCCTTATTTTTCAATGTATGGCCCCATGTCTTATTTACTGAACACTGTTCTCAAAATGTAATTATTATTATCCTCATAGGTTTTTCTGCATTGCTTAATGCTATAGTATCTAAGTGCGTCACAAACATTCATTTATCTTCACAATACCCCTGGGAGGCAAGGGGTGTGTGATGGGATGTGTAAACTGCACACTGGCTTCAAAGGAGTTAAAGGACAATATTGGGCACAGGTAACCCCACCCCTAAAGATCATGATCCAGCTGAAGAGAAAGCTTAAAAGGGAGCAACTCACTCAGAGAGGGGAGGAAGACAGACGGCTCTTGAACAAAGAGGCCAAAGAAGCCTCCCTCTGGGGAGAAGGATGCACACTGAGCCTAGCTGGGGATGAATGTTTAGTTGTATTTTCTTTTTCTTTTGATATCTTATATTGGACTTGCAGCCACGAGAAAGATGGAGTGTAGAAAGTGACATAGGGAGGCAATAAAATGAGCCGGACCCTGATTGGCTCTCAAAGCCCTGGGTCAGAGCCCATTGGAGTGGGAGGGCCCTGGTTCTCCTACCAACTGCCCCTGCTACAGAAGGGACAGAAGTCTCATTCCCACCCCACTCACCCTCTGGTAAGAAGAGGGCAAGGACAGTGAAAACACAAGGTGAAGCTAAAAGCCCATACATTGATAAGGATTTGGAATGAAAAACCATCCCACTGGAGGCTGAGGCTGGGTCAGAGATGAATGGTACCTGCTGATAGTGGGGGGGCACAATTTAAAGGGTCACCCCCCAACAGCTTGAATCATGCCCCTCCCAGGCATGGCCCCCCTTACCTTCAGCATCCCCTCCCTGCAGCTTCCAGCTGTTTGCTGCTGCCTCTCCCCACGGAGCTAAAGCAGTGGACCCTCTTCGTAGCTCTGCCTCTCCCTGTGGCCAAAGCTTACAGCTCATCAGCTCCAGGAGCTGCTGCACAGGAAGGGGCCCCAGCCAGCAAACTCTGGGGCAGAGTTTCTTCTCGTGACACCCCCACCCCCATGCTACCTCTGGGCTGGATACTGGATGTGCTACCCATTAGACCACATAGTCCTCCAAGGACTCTGTTACAGGGATTATCATCCCTATTTTACAGATGGACACCAACATGGGCAGTGGGTGAACCCCAGGCTCGGGGAGGCTAGCCTCTGGCCCAGCCTGCCCCTTCTACATGAGGTCCCACCCCCTCCCACTGAAGCCCAGAGTCATCGTCCCCTGCACAGCCACCAGCTTCCCCCCAGCCCTGGGCCACCCGAGCACACTCTCCCCACCCCAGTGCGCTGGGCAAGCGGTGCGGTCCCCGTCCCCGAGCCCCAGAGCACCGTGGGGGGTGGGTGGGTGGGTGCGCATGGCCCACGGCCCCAGAGCACCAGGTGGCACAGCCCACAGTCCCCCTCCACCAGCCCCGGAGTGCCAAGTGGGTGGCATGGTCCCCCTCCCTCCAGCCCCAGAGCGCAGGCCGGCCCCCATTAGCCCCAGCCTGGGGCCACAGGGGGGGGGAAGAGCCCCCAGCATCACAGCACTGGGATTGGGAAGCAGGAAGGGGTCTGGGGGTGGAGTATGGGTAGGGCCATGCAAGACTGTTTGGGGAAGCTCAGCCTTCCCCTGCCTTCATTACCTGCTGCCCATGGACACCAAGCAATGGGGATTAAGGTCAAAAGTGTCCACTAGTCTGAGACACACAGGACCTGATTTTTCAGAGTATTTAGCATTATATAGCACATTATATGTTCAAAGACACCTCCAGTTGATTTCTGTTGCAGTTGTGAGTGCTCAGCACTTCTGCAAGTCAGGCGCCAGTGTCTCAAGGCAGGCAACCAGAAAATGAGGACCCCATAATTAGTGACTACCTGTGAAAAGTTATTTTTAAGTGACTTAGCCAGCGTCACATGGGAACTCTATGGCAGAACCAGGGACAGAATCCAATTCTCCAGGGCAGCATTCAATTGTTTGGTCCCAAATTCAAATCACATGCTATTTTTCAATTCTGAAACATCACTGTGATTTTCTAAACATAAATACTGTCACCAATAAAAAGGTATTACTGGCCTCAGTGATCAAACAAATAGGAATGGGGAGGAGGGAATCTCAAAACATAGTGTGGAAACAGAATTAAAATCAGTTAAGATAAATGGGTAGGGAAAGGATAGTGAAGGAGACTTAACACAAAGCTATTTTGTTCATAAAAGGTGAAATTCAGAGATGCTCACACACATCCTGAGAAATGGACTACGTGGGATGCTACTCTTGCCTTAAGAGGAACCAGAATCCACCACTCTAATCTGGGGGCAGGTTGCAGGCGTGTTGCTCCTTCACAGGGGCTGAAGCAATATACAATTCCCCTCCATGCTCCTGTGTAGCTATTCCCAACACCATATTTAAATAAGAACCAATCTGTAGCCCCACCTCCAATATGCTCCTCCACTCTGGTATATTCTGAGCTGATTAGAAATCCATCTCCCCAGTGTGCTAAGGATGTTTCTCCCACACCCCATCCCATGAACGGATGCTGTAAGTCTTCTGCAACACAGCCTTCTTCCAGGGAAGACTTTAACCCAAATGGTATCAGAGGAGTTACTAGAGGATATAATTACATAAGTGTTCAGAGAGAAGTTTAATAGGTCTCTCCATTGGTTTATGTAAGAATCTGCAGGGCTAGAACTTGGGACCCTGGAGGGCATGGGCCACCGATGCCACTACATCACCACTGCCTGGGCTCCTGTATGAGGATCCTGGGAGGCTAGGCCAGCACGAAGTACCACCCAGCAGGTGGCAGCTCCTAGCATCACACTGATTGACTGGCACCAGTACTTAAGCCAGGAAGACATCACAGGGAATTTTCTGAGCAACAATACATACTGCTCCCTTGTCTTGTTTCAGACCCTGCATGTGAGATCCCAGACTCCAGCTTCTGACCCTGCCTGCCTCCTGGCACCGGTCTTGGTTTACCTTCCAGCCTACCTCAGACTCTCACCTCCTGGTAACTGAACCCTGTTTGTCTACTGATGCCTGACTCTTGGTTTGCCCTCTGGTACCTGACTCAGCGTGACTCCTGATTCCCGCACTGACCAATAGGTCTGACCACCCATGACCCAGTCATGACAGTTTATATGTTAAATACTTTAACAGAAAAATTAACTAAATTCATGAAACTCTGTATTGAGCAGCAGGCTTCATCCAGTTCCTTTGAACACTATCTTCTCAGGTCATTAACATGCAGGGGATGTAAAGGCTGTGAGTAAAGGCTTCCAAATACAAATTTAGCAGAAAAACCCAGACAATTTATGGCTAGAGTCCAATACCTTTATTCACAGCAAGTGCCATTTTCCTTTGTGAGTGGTCCTATTGACTTCAGTGCCCCACCCGTACAGTAAACACTGCCCAACATGACTGAGGGTATCAGAAACAGCCTTTTCTTATGTGCTTAAATAGGATGTACGTTGTGCTTAAGTTTTGTGCTGGCCTTCTGCATAGGGTGATTTTCACTCAGATACCAGGGCACTGCTTTCCTTTATGAACCAGCAAGTTCAGAACCATTGGTTCTTCTTCGAGTAGTGTCCCGAAGGGTGCTCCACTATATGTACAGTACTGCCTCTGCACCTGGGATCAGAGCTCTTCGGTAGCAGTGCCTGTTGGGCTGCATACGTGCGCCTCCTCATCTCATGCCGTGAGCAGCGTCTACATAATGCTGTGCGGTCCAACAGCCCTCAGTTCCTTTTCAACTGCCTTTGGTCTGGGACAGAATACTGAGCAGAGCCCCTTATACATCCTTAGCCTTTAGCAATAAGTGTTTCTGTTATGAGGTTGTAGATATTAGCCATTTCCTTTATTTCACTTTCCCCTCGAAAAAAACCTTCTCTTGCTCTTCCCTGCACGTTATTCTTTAGCTTAGCATAGGTTTCCTTTCCTACACCCTTCACAGAGTTCTCCCTTCTCAGGGTTATGCCCTGATCCCCCAGGTTCAAGAGGTGCCTCTTCTGTCAGGAGGCCTTCCCCATGAGCGACAGTCACTTAGAGTGCATATGCTGTCTCAGTGAGGGACATGTCTCACAGAAGTGTACCCACTGCCTCAAATTGAAGGCTCAATCCAGAAAGGACCATGAACTGAGGCTAAAACTTTTATGAATGGAGAGCTTTCTGCAACCAGCCTAAGATCCTGGCCATGATACCTCTCCTACAAGGCGATCGCCATTAGCATAGTCATCGGCCGACCCTCATTCACCACGCATCACCAAAAGAAAATCTACTGTCTCCTATCCAGACAAAAAAAAAAACAAAACAGGCCACTAGTTCACCCTCTAAGGAGCCACCTCAAAGAAAGGCATCCCCTGTGAGATCAGTAGCCTCAATGTCTTCAGGGGTGAGACTTAGCTCCGGCAACCATCCAGGCACCTCCAGTACCAGTGGTAAGGAGATGTCGGAGGACCCTAAACAGGCAGGACTGCAGACAGAGACACTGTCACCCAGGACCAAGAAGGACAGTGCAATAATTTCAAAATCAGTACTGACCACCTCAACAAAAACAACCTAGTGCTTCAGCATCTAGCAATCCCTCGGCACCAAACAAGCCCTTGGCACCACCTACTGGCTGCTCAAAAGAATACACTGCACCCTTGGCACCAGCAAAATGCTCTGAATCTCTACACAGCCACCTATGCTGATGATGTTCCTCACAGTACCACAGGAGTTTCAATACCCAAGACACCTGATACTCCAGAGTCACTGCTTCTCCGTAGTGAGCTCCCTACAGCTCATGCCTCTTCCTCAGAGACACAACACCACTCCCCTTCACCACCAAGGATTGCACCACCCTTCTCTAGCAAGGAAGAAGAGGAGGAAGAGGAGAAGTACTCCATTGCACCATGCACTCCACCATCGTATCAAGGGAAGCCACAAAGAGAATCATCTCATCCTTCTCATCCTTGATATCCAAAGACCAGAAGCAAATCAGGCCACTGGTACAGACCCCATGGATGCAACCCCATATGCCAGTGGTTTTCAAACTGTGGGTCGTGACCCAGTACTGGGTCGCAGAATGTAAGGCACTGGGTCGTGACAGCTCTGGTCAGCACCACCAATCAGGCCATTAAAAGTCCTGTCGGCAGTGCTGCCTGGCTAAGGCAGGCTAGTTCCTACCTGTTGTGATACCGCACTATGCTCCAGAAGCGGCCAGCAGCAGGTCCGGCTCCTAGGCGGGGAGGCCACCTAGAGCCACCCAGAGCACTGGCTCCTCACTCCCATTGGCCACTGAGAACTGGGGGTGGTGGTGCCTGCAGGCAAGAGCTGCACAGAGCCGCTTGTGCACCTCTGCCTAGGAGCCGGACCTGCTGCTGGCCGCTTCCAGGATGCAGCATGCTCTGCAATGCCACGACAGGCAGGAAGCCTGCCTCTGCACCAACACTGCGCTGCTGACCGGGAGCCAACGGAGGTAAGCCCATGCCCCAGTCCCACACTCCAATCACCTGCCCCAGCCCTGAGCCCCCGCCCAAACCCAGAGCCCCTTCCTGCACCACAAACTCCTCATCCCCAGCCCCACCCCAGAGCCTGCACCCACATCCCAGAGCCCTGACCTCTTCCTGCACCCCAACCCAGAGCCCCCTCCCACACCCTGAACCCCTCATTCCCAGCCCCACCCCACAGCCCTCACCCCAACCCTCTGCCCGAGCCCTGAGCCCCCTCCCACACTCCAAACCCCTCATCCCCAGCTCCATTGGGTTGCAGGCATCAACAATTTTCTTCAACTGGGTCACCAGAAAAAAAGTTTGAAAACCATTGCCGTATGCCAGTTACCGTACATTGGCCCTATTGGGACCCAAGGGCTGCATATAGGGTGCACTTTCTCAAAACACCTGCAGAGCAGAGACAGAGATAAATATACGCTCTGTCTTCATCAGCTCTATACCACCTGAAACTGAACCAAAAGCACTAGAGAAGCAAGAGGAAGAAACTGAGGTAGAAGTTACACCGCCAACCCACGATTCCTCATCTTCCCCCAATGAGGCCATCATGCTATCACCTCCAATATCGGCAGACACTTTTTAACTGTTCCAAAAACTGTTCCGCAGGATTGCAAACTCCCTCCAGAATCTTCCTCTAGGGAAAGTCAGAGAGCAACAGCACAAGTTGCTTGGCATCTTGCAGGCCTCTACATCAGCAAATATAGCACTCCTGATCAACGAGGCCTTGCTGAACCCTGCCAAGGTGATCTGGCAGACCCCAGCATCAATACCACCCATCTGCAAGTGAGCAGACAAAACTATGTCCCCACTGAGGACATGGAATTTCTCTTTTCCCACCCCACTCCAAACTCCCTTCTTGTCAATGTGGTACAAGAAAAAAGGGAAACAACACTCTACAACAACTCCCTATGACAGATTAGACCTCTTCAGTTGTAAAACATATTCTTCAGCTACACTCCAGTTCCATACCGCTAACTATGAGGCACTTATAGCCAAATATAATCAAAAACTATTCCAAATTCTAGGAATTCTGTCAACACCTCCCAGATGACAAAAAGGAGCAGTTCCAGGCACTGGTGACAGAAGGACAACTTCTGGCCTGTACTGTACTGCAAGCCTCTCTGGACTCAGCAGACATAGCTGCCCACTCTATTGCATCATCGGTGGTGATGAGACGGGCATCATGGCTTCACTTCTCTGGGTTCCCTAAAGAGGTACAGACCACTGTCGAGGAACTACCCTATGAAGGATCTAAACTCTTCGCCAAGCACATGGACGAGTCCCTACGTTCTTTAAAGGACTCTATAGCGACACTCCGTTCACTAGGCATTTATACATCACTGTGAAGAGAAGATGGGGTATGCTGGTATCTACCCTAAGTTCTCGACCTGCACATTTCACCCCTCAGCAGCAGTATGATGCGCAATGCAGGTGACAGAGGCCTCCTCCTAAGCACAGGCAGACACCAGCACAAGGGGCTATGCCTCACACATCCACCTCCAAACAACAATTTTGAAGCTCTGGTTGAGGACCTGAGATGCCTCCCTCGGGTCCAGTTACTGCAACCATTTCCAATAGCCCATCAGTTTGGAGACTGCTTGGCCCCTTTTTACCCATCATGGCAAGAATGGACAAGTGGGTCTTGGAAATCATCAACAAAGGGTACTCCATTACATTCCTCTATCTCCCATGCACTCACCCAACCCCTCCTATAAATGAAAAAGATTCCAGACTTGGTGCAACACGAAACATGTCCTGGCAATGAATGCTCCTTTCCACTCATCGTAGGCTACATTCTAGAACTCAAAAGATCAGGACTATCCACAAGCTCCGTTTGCGTACACCTGGCCACTATCACTGCATTCTACCCGAAGATAGAAGGTCATTCCTTATTTACCCACCCACTAAAACAAAAAAGATTCCTTAAGAGCCTTCAAAACCTTGACCCTCAAATATGAGACCCCACACCACCGTGAGATCCCAGCTGAGATTTGCACTGTCTCACTGACCCCACCCCCCGTTTGAGCCCATGGCTACGTGCTCAAATATACACCTATCCATGAAAACAGCATTTCTCGTCGCCCTCACGTGCACCCAATGAGTAGGAGAACTAGGTGCGCTCATGGTGTACCCTCCATACACAATCTTTCACAAAGACACTGTCACATTATGACCACACCCGAAATTCTTACCCAAAGTGCCTTCCGCTTTCCATCTAAACCAACCTATCCACTTTCCCTCCTTCTTCCCAAAGCCACATGGTATCTCAGCATGAAGCCATGCCACACCCCTTGGATGTCAGATTGAGCATTAGTCTCTTATCTTTACAGAACTAAATCTTTCAGGCAATTGCCACACTTATTCCTTTCTACGGCTGAAAGATCAAGGGCATCAGCCATATCCAAACAACGTCTCTCCAAATGGATCTCTCAGTGCATCCACCTTTGCTACCAACGACACAAACTATGACCCACACCTGGAACTTGAAAGCATTCCACTTGATCACTGTCCGCCTTGATTGCCATTCTAAACACCGTGCCAATTACTGACATTTGCAAAGTGGCCACCTGGGCATCCACACACACTTTTAGTCAACACTATGCAATTACCCACAATGCAGCATCAGATGCCATACTAAGACACACTGTCCTATCATCCTCAGTAGATGCCACTCCAAAGCCCCAGCCTTCCATTTGAGTACCCATAGGGCCACCATTCAAAGAAGAAGAGAAGGTTACTCACCTTGTGCCATAACTGGAGTTCTTTGAGATGTGTGTCCCTATGGGCGCTCCACTACCTGCCCTCTTCCCCTCTGCTTTGGAGTTCAAATGTGGACTCTGTGGTAGAGAAGGAACTGAGGGCAGTTGGACCATACAGCGCTATATAGCGCCGCTCATGTCGTGAGACAGAGAGGAGCACATGTGCAGCCCAACCAGCGCTGCTACCGAAGATATTTGATCCCAGATGCAGGGGCGTTACTGCACCTGCAGTGGAGCACCCATAGGGACATACATCTCGAAGAACCTCAGTTACTGCACAGGGTGAGTAACCTTCCTCTTTTCCAGTCCAGACATGAAGGCCTCTATTGGGCCACCACTCACACTACAGAAATGCAGAAAAATATGCATGTGACTCTCCCAAAATGCCCTCTCCTGCCTCCAGGCCTGCCCTTGGGGACAGAGAAGCAGCACATGACCACTTGTAGAAGCCTTCTGCAGTGCCTGTGCCAAGAAGAAAAAGTTGGGCCCAAGTGGCAGAGGAGAGAGGTGTGTAGTCTTTTCCCCTACCTGATAGAGGCAGGGAGGAAATCTGTCAATTGTTAGCTACAGCCCCAGAGGAAGAGTTACTTTATTTTATGCTATTTATATCTTATTTTCAACCACTAAATCATGCCCTGAAGCAAGGACCTCAGAAGGACTTGGGTGTGATGTTTGCTTTCCTTTCCAGAGCAAAATAACCCACTATTATACACACCTGCATGTCAGGTCACAGCACAGGAGACAATTAAAAAAAAAACCCACAGAGCTCAAAGTGGCATAAACAGCTGCTCCTGAAGTATCTGATTGCAAACCAGGAGCAGATACATTCATCTTTTCTATAAATTGTAAGCCTTACTCACTGAAAACAAGCTTTTTTGTAGCTGTTCTGTTTAAAGGTAACTCATTGCTAGAAAGTCTTCGTCCCAGTAATAGCATGAACAGGTTTCATAATCTTATTCAAAAGAGTACATTGATATACTAAAAGATGGTTGTATTTCATTTAGGGCCAGAAAGATGGAGGAGAGTCATCTAAACTGAACCTCCATTCCCATTTTTAAAATGTGAATAAATATGGCCTTGAAAAACTAGATCTATCCCTTATCTGTTACAAGGCATCCAGTCCTGACTGTCCATTTTCTGGCTATAAATTCTCACTACTTTTGAACTGACTTTTCTTACTACTGAATCTGATGTGTACAATTTACAATTAAATGCCATTCATAAACATTCAGACCTAATGTAACTCACACCAGTGATAATTTGGTCTGCTGAACATACTGTAAGAATACTGGGCTAAATTCTGGTCTTGGTGTACATTTATTGTAGCTTGAAAGTAACTCCCCTTAGAGTTACTTTGAATTTACACTGCATACATGAAAGCAGAATGTGGCTTACTATCTAATACCATTCAAAAAGTTTTAACAATATTTACCCACTTTTTATGTGATCACAGCAATTTTTCAGGTTGTGATCAGTGGGACAGAGTGTAGAAGTGTATGGAACTACCAGCCTTCACTTCATTAGTATGAGCAGGCATAATCTGAATTTCTACTAGTATTCAGTCCTTTGATCCAAGACCCAATTTTTCCATTGATACTCAACTTTTCTTTTCTTTTTTTGCAGTGAAATGGCAGTTTTTTCCTCCACTGAAGCTGCTTTTCAATGTTAACAACAACAACAACATCTGAGGAAAAACTACTAAGTTTTTCTTGCCAGAGGTAATTATTTACCACAGCGCCCTCAAGCAGATCAGCATTACCGGAGAGTATAATAGGCCTAAATATATTGATGATATGAAACATCCTAATTGTCAAGTTAGGAAGCCCCACAGATCTGGCCACAGTCATCCATGCATTTATGACCTTGAGGCATGATTACTGCAAGTCGTGTCTAGGAATGAAGCTACACAACTTGCGGGAAAAATGGTACAAAATACAACAACTGATTTGCTTAGCAACACAGGTTACCATGAGTGTATTAGTCCATGGCTCTTTACGCTAGGTCCCCATTGACTAGATACACAGCCTATTTCAAGGGCTGTACTGTTGTTCAAAGCCTTCCAGAGGCTTAGACTTTTGCTACCTGAAAGATCTCCTTTTCTTCCCCCATGACCATGATTTCCTATAACAGTTAGACTCCACTGGAACAATGCAACTCTTGACTAGTATGGGGGAGCTTGTCAACGCAAGAGACAGAACTTTTGCAAGAGCTGAAAATGATGATAGATCTTTATCATTCTCATTTTATTTGTTCATCATAGCTTTCCATTAATAAATTTACTCTCACGCTCACTCGCTCTCCCTCTCACACACACACAAACTAATCAAGCTATTTTTCCTTTATGCTGAAAAGAGAGGGATTGTTATTGCTATTTCCACTTGTACGTGTTTTGGAGGCATCCAGATAATATGGTGATAGGACTGATAACAAAACCTAGTTAGATAGAAGTAAAGCATTTAATATAGATCATGGAATTGAACAGTAATATTGATTATGGATGATCTATGATCAACAGTTGCATCTATTTGTAATAATTCACTTAAATATATTTTTGGATTATCATTGAGGCTGATACCTGTGTAAAAATGTGACAGGTATAAACACTATGGCCAACATTTTCAAATCTGAATGCTTACAGCACCCATACCTTCCACTGAAGTTAATGGAAACTCAGCATCTCTGAAATTCAGGCTGCTTTGCATTAAGGAACCAAATCCCTATTTAGGCTGCAACTTGGAGCACTCTGATTTGACAATGTTGGTGTTACACCCCAATTCTGAAGTCAATAGGAGTTAAACTACTGTAAGAGCAGGGAGAATTGAGAGTGAAATCTATTATCCTGTAGAATAGTTTCCCAAGGCAAGTGATGAATGTCATACTAAAATACTAGAAAATAAACTGTAGGGAGGAAACTGCATTAATAAAACCTTTGATTGACAATTTATATGCACAAGAGTCAGGAAATTCACAACTATGGATCCCAGCACAATTGTGGGATTTACCCATGTATATTAAGCAACAAATGTAAGATTACGATTTACTACCTTATCACTTATACAGTAACATTGGTGTGCATGGCACTGTGCAATACATTAGCTGTGACAAGGCAAAAGAACTGGTCCCTGCTCAGACAGAGTTTACAGTATAAAGATGGTGACAGATTTATGTTACCAATCTGTGTGAGGTGTCAGGTGATCAGACTGAGGCCACAGGATCGTTAAGGGAGGAGATGACGTAACACATCAAGTGTCTAAATTTTAAAGCTTTATTGATAAAATAACAGCAGAGAGTGCTGGGGGGGGGGGTTCCCCCACATCACTCAGAGGAAGGAAGAAAGCCTTAGTGCCCCAAGCCTTAACCCACTTTCATACTCACACCCGCACTACCTGAGGCTGGCCAAGCCTGGGTGTAACATAAGAAGAAGAGGGGGAGGGGTGGACAGGAGTTCTTGTCCCATGCACAGGTCGTCCAGGAGCCACTGTGATCTCTGAATTACTCCAGTTCTCAGGAGGGTTTTAAGTCCTGGGTTTCTTTGGGGATGTTCCATTCCACGACCTCTGTTCCTGGTGCTCTTTGTGCCAGTCCAAACTGGCTTTCTGTGGTCTTCTTCGCTTTCCCAAAACACAACGGCTCCAGGGACGCAAAGCTCTGCTCCCACTCCCCCCCATCGTCTTCACCTGTGTTTTTCATCTCTGCAGCCCTGTTTTTTTCATGGCTGGCTGTGGCTGGGTGAAAGATAAACTTCTTGTCTAGAGCCATGACCTTGGACTGCAGCCAGCATCTTATCGTTGGACTGAGCTTGCTAGCTGCAGTGTTGAGTTAACCCATTCTCTGCTCTCTTTCTCCTTCCCCCTTTGGCCTCTTTCAGCCTGCAAAAGAATCTTTCACTCTTCACTCACAAATGCTCCCCAAAATGCTTTGCGATCCGTGCCACAGTGTTAGCAACATGCAGTGCTGATCTGCCTTCCCCAGGGAAACCCCTGAGGTTGTGACATTGATACAGCCCATATAGTGTAATATAAAATACTGACAGCCATAGTATAGCTGTAGGCATTAAACATGCTTATTTGCACCCCCCCCCAAATAGACAGACATACGTGATACAGAGGCAGCATTAATGTAAGCCTGTATTCTGGCTGCTTTCAGCTGCATGCAGAAGCTTCCCTATATATATATATATCATTCCTAGGACTAATTTGTGGTAGGGGGGGGTCAGGGTAGGGTGCAGGTGAATTTTACCCTTTAAGGTCTAAACTACCACCTCTAGGTATGGGTGACCTGTGTTTAGGATCTCTGCAGGCAGTCACTATTGGGACACACAATTCCTGTCTTGTGGTTTCCTTTCCAGGCCCCAGCTTTTCAGTTTTATGGTACATATGTACAGCACAAGCCAAAATTAAGCCAAAAATCACTTAACTGGGCTAAGTTTGATTGTTGCTGGATTTTCTCTCATTTTTGTATCTTTAAATTCTCAACCATACTGCTTCATTAATTTAGGTTTGGGGGGAAGGGTATTTCCCATTGAATAAATTTGTGCTTAACTAGGACATCGTTAGATGATGGCTTTACACTTCTGTATTGCCCTGTTTCTTGTTTCATGGCCTTCTGCAAAATTAAATCCAGTTCTACCTGATACATACTAATGAGTCCAGGGTACATTCATCCACATGTTGTGAGGCTTTTATGGCATATGTTACAGGTTTGCCCCAAAAAAGAAAGAAAACAGAAGCTGAAAATGAAATCCTTAAGCAATGAAACAGCACCAAGAAAATTCCCCAATTACTACAAGACTTCGCTCACTCAGACCTGCTGTGCTCCCAACAGACTACTAAAACCAAGTTCGCACTATTTACACTTGAACAAAAATGCTGTAAGTCTACAGAGCTAGCAGGAAAGTCAGTGGCATAAAGACAACCCCAAATGACAGGAACATTTAATGAAATCATTACATGAAACATAGCCACTGATGGAATTTTCAGTTTTACTGAGGTCAATATTGAGTTCATACCTCTCTGTAAAAACTGTATCTGAAGATGATAGTCTCCCCCGATCTGTGTAACTATTATTATAAAGTTCTAAAATAGTGCCCATCCTGTGCCTAAAAGCCTAAACCGTCAATTAAAAAGCAAACAACTTCCCATCAATATATTCACTTCAATCCACCCCTGCCTCAACAGCCTTAGAGGAGAGAGAAAAAAAGATGGGCTTTGCAACATTCCCAGAAGACTAACAGATCTGGGCTCTGCTGCACCAAGAGTGGATGGAGATCTTCAGCTCCTCCAGTTATATATTAGCCAAAGAGAGCTGGGGTACTGGGAATTCTGGCAATCTGGGGAGGGAGGGAGGAAGAGTTATTTTCTTTCTCCCAGCACAGAGAGTAAGTGGGTGAGGAAGAACAAAAGGGAGGTCTAGTGGATTGCTGGCCTGGGGGACAGGAGAGGAATCACTGGGTTGGGGAAGAGCTCAGTGAGTTGGGAGACAAGGCAAGAGTGGGGTTTCACTGGTCCTTGCCCGAGTTGAAGGTCAGAGGAGGACCTTGTCTGTAACAGCAGCCCCCTCCTCTCCAATAAAACAAGTTGTGGTCTATAACACTCTGCTCCCTGATGAAGGGATCCTCTGATCCATGTCACCCCTACTGACTCGACAATCTTGATTTTATTTTTTTACAGTGCCTAACCTGCTTTGCTCTGCAAGCACTATCAGAGCTCCTTCAAAGGACAAAAATCAGATGGGCAATTCAGAGTTTTGCCTATGTCAATAGGTTATTTTTATAGTAGTTTTTATTTTGTTCATTTGACTCGGATTTCAGACTAGCTCCTGAGGATTGGAAGTACTTCAGATGCCGTATGCTGCCCTCAAGGCAAAATGTTATTAGGACAAATTTAAACTCCTCTTAGGAGATTAAATCAAATCTGACACAGAGAAACAAAATTATTTACCTTTTCCCTTATGGGAGAAGTGGAACACTATTAAAATAAATGCATTTCCAGTAAATAAAACTGCTCAGTTTTCTCTCAATTTCATTTTTAAAGCAACATTTTAAGATTAATAATACTCTTAAAAATATGGAAGAATGGGAGAGGGAGAATAAACCCTCAACTTTCAATTAGTTGTACCTCCTGGCCTTCAAAGGATCCTTTTCGTTTTTGAGATTGTTTATACATTATTCACAGTCTATTTCCAGGAACACCCAAGATCTTTGGTTAAGTATTTATTGAATTGGTGTGATTTATCTTGTCACACTAAGGGCAAGTCTACATTACAAAATTAAGTCAACCTAAGTTAAATCGATGTACAACCACCCCAGTAATTTAGTCGCTTTTGTATGTCCACGCTATGCTTCTTGTGTTGGCAGTGCGCATCCTCACGAGGAGTGCTTGCACCAATTTAACTGTCAGCATGGGGCATTGTGGGACAGCGTCTGAAAGGAACAACAGTTCATGTAAGCAGCACTGATACTGTGTCAACTTAACTATATCAATTTAAGTCCTACGCCACTTGTATAGGTGGAGTTATTAAGTCAGTGTAGTGCAGCGGTTCCCAAACTTGGTTCGCGGCTTATTCAGGATAAGTCCCTGGCGGGCCGCGAAATGCTTTGTTTACCTGAGTGTCCTCAAGTATGGCCGCTTGCAGCTCCCAGTGGCCGTGGTTTGCCGTTCTGAGTCAATGGGAGCTGTGGGAAGCAGCGCGGGCTTGTAAGTGTTATGCTAATTCACACTCCATGCTAAACAGACCTCAGCTCAACTACTCCTGGGGTTTGCACAGCGGTGTTAAAAAGTGAGAGACAGAAATGCTTTAGGAAAAGTTTCCCCAAGTCTCTTTTATACGACACTCTCCCTCACCACAAATCACAGAAAAACTGACATAGTACAAAGTTGAGTAATCTACAATATCAAGGGAAGAAAAAGGAGGCCTGATTCTAATATCCCGAGTTAGACTACTATATATGAAAAGAAAGTCAGACCCTCAATATTTTATGCCCTTTGCACAGGTGTGAGCAATCACATCAGGGATAACATAGTAGAGACTCAGGACCTAAGTATTTATTGAAATGGACCTTACTTGTTCAGACAACTTTCCTGGCTTCACTTGAATTTTCTGCCCCCAGGTAATGGCTTATCTATTGCAGTTTCTTCAGTAGCTCGGTCCTCAGCAGCAGACCCCCTCAAGCACTCTACATTGTGTGTGACATGCAGGTTGTACCTGCTGTTATGACTCAGTTGGAGAGACAGCCTTATGCTGGGTCTCTTGCTTCTCTCCTTCCCCTCCAAGGAGCAGAAAAAGGCATCCAAGGGAGGGACCCAAGTTGTCCAGGACCCAGTGGCTGTTTTTGAGATATGGGAGGCCAGAGGGGAGGAAGTAGCTGGATGGATGGAAGAGAGGAGCATTCAGCTGCTGCACTCTTCACAGCTCGCTACAGTACAGTGATTGCCATTAAAATGACAACATTTGCCAGCTGATACCAAACATCTATCACAGCTATTGCCTGTTAGAATTATAGGGGGAAACTGGCCATCTGAGAAACGCCCATGAGGATAGTGGTAGCAAATGCTGCATATCACAACTATAAATAGACCCAGGCACAATCTAGCAAAATTCCTCCTCCTAATTAAAGGTCTGAACTGTCATATTTGGACTGGATCCAAGCTTCTCCCAAGTCCAAGGTTGTTTGGTTCTGGCCTATCTCTGCTTTTAATCCCCATTTCTAGAGGTATTGTAGCTGATATAGGTAACTCTGAGCCGTCTTCTTGCTAGAACTGATAAAGAGACAGGAAACAAGTTTTCACAGTCATGGATTTCAGTCTCTAGGGTTGGCTAATTATGTTTCTCCATGGATAAAAATTACATGGTTTCTTTCAGTTTGAATCACTTACTTTAGAAACATGAAGAACAAAAAAACCTCCATAAGAGAGCCAGCCCAGTTTCTGCCTGCTCTGTGACATGCCACATCAAGTCAGCTGCATCAAATAGCAGCTGCTCTGCAGACAAACCCTTTAGAAACTGAAAGGTACAATACATAGAAAACCAGTTGTATGTTACATAAATGCATATACCATATCATCTGGTCTGGAAATTGTACCCATATCTTCTGTGAAGATTTAATTTCACACCTAAATTGATGTGGAATCACCGCTCCTCTCTCTGTCTTCAGAGATACTGAATTTGTCATAAATAGCACCTATGAATTAGTATTGAGCATCCTCTTTGAAAATGCACACTACACCAACTTTAAAGTGCACCTTTTTTAAGCATCTGAACGGCAGGTTAGATGTAATGATCCTATGAAAAGGAGGATTTTCTACAGCTGCTGTTGTTTGATTTCACCATTCATTTTAATTATAGCTCATCTGATTTGTTACATTATGAAATATACTGAAACTATGGTGCCCTTGGTCAAAGAAACATTCAGTGAAGATAATTGTTGCCATATTTTATTACTAAAGTTATTGCAAGGTTATATAATAACTTGTATGAATTACCGGTAGTGCTGAATATTTTGCCTTGCCAGCATTAATATAAGCCAGCTATTTTGCCCTTGACCTACAACAGTTTACATAAAACATGACAGATTTACAGGAAGAACAGGACATTTTCCCCATAGTCTGAAGAATGTTGAGCATCCATAGAAAGAAAAGCAGTTTAAAGGTAAACCAGTACTTTGTTAGGCTCAGTTGTGTTCAAAATGAATAATGAGAGAAGAGTATTAGAAGATTGGTAGGAAATTATTTATTAGGATATAACTACATTAATTAAAGCATTTACTTGTGGGTCACGTATATATCTCTTTCCTATCTCAAGTGTATAACTATAATATACTGTGACACCCTGCATATGGCTTTTATATTTATACACATTGTGCTTTTTAATGTATTGATTTTTTCTTGTATATTCATCTTTCATGTCTTTCCTATGTAAATATTAGAAATGTATAAAAAAAACTTTAAACAAATAGCCAGATAAATATACAGCTGGCCACATAAATGGGTTGGACTGTTTTCCAGTTCTGACAACAAAGAATCTTATATCACAATGTATTTAAAATAAAAAATCTCTTCTTACTCTTTTCAAAAATGAGCTCAGTACAACAGGGTAAGCACAATACTTTTGTATATCCAGACACTGTACATTTCCCTTTATTACAAATACTTACTGGTACTGATTTTACCCACTGTGATTTTCTTTCCAGGGATGTTTTGCATGTTTATTTTTCAAATTACGAGGGCAAAAGGTCCTATTCTTCCATGTTTATTTTTCAAATTACGAGGGCAAAAGGTCCTATTCTTCCATGTTTATTTTTCAAATTACGAGGGCAAAAGGTCCTATTCTTCCATAACTCTGTCATGTTTTGTGTAAACCGTAATAGGTCAAGGCCCTAATAGCTGACATTTCACTGCTGGCAAAGCAAATCTGCAGAATCAGGGACTTTATGTGCAAATAACATGTCTTTAAGGTGATAATTTGACATATACCTGCTTGACAAATTGTACACTTACTTTATAACTAGCTAACAATATATTAAAACTTCAGTAGATAATCTGGTCCTATATATATATATGCATGAAGTGCTGAAATGGTCTAAAAGTTATTTTTTCATTAATTGTATTAATTTTAAAATATATATCAGCACTTTCTAAATAAATAAATGAATAAATATTAAACATCTTGAAATTAATTCATTTCACTTAGTTTTCTGCATTTGAAAGAATACCAAGGCTTTTATTATTTTAGGCATGTCTTTAATATCCTCTGTAGAAAGTGAGAAGGCTGAGATAAAATGAATCAAACTTATACTTGTGGATTATCGGAATGTAGGCTGTAGAGTCACTTAGT